TTTGCAACAGCATCACACTGTTGGCTCATATTCAACTTGTGGTCCACTATGACCCCTAGATCCCTTTCCGCCATGCTCCTTCCTAGACAGTCGCTTCCCATCTTGTATGTATGGAACTGATTGTTCCTTCCTAAGTGGAGCACTTTGCATTTCTCTTTATTAAACCTCATCCTGTTTACCTCTGACCATTTCTCTAACTTGCTAAGGTCATTTTGAATTATGTCCCTATCCTCCAAAGAAGTCGCAACCCCACCCAGTTTGGTATCATCTGCAAACTTAATAAGCGTACTCTCTATCCCAATATCTACATCATTGATGAAGATATTGAACAGTACGGGTCCCAAAACAGACCCTTGAGGAACTCCACTTGTTATCCCTTTCCAGCAGGATTTAGCACCGTTAACAACAACTCTCTGACTACGGTTATCCAGCCAATTATGCACCCACCTTATCGTGGCCCTATCTAAGTTATATTTGCCTAGTTTATCAATAAGAATATCATGCGAGACCGTATCAAATGCCTTACTAAAGTCTAGGTATATGACATCCACCGCTTCTCCCTTATCCACAAGGCTCGTTATCTTATCAAAGAAAGCCTTTGGAAAGCCTTTTAATCCCTTTGTGCCTTGGTCCCCGCTCATTAGAGAGACTACGTCCCTTTCTTGCGGGGATTGCTCAGACTACAGAGATAGGCCATATAAATATTGGATTAAGACTAATTTCATAAGGAGATGAAGAAACATGAAATTGTAGTTGAGTTTTGATTCTAATGTGTGAATTGGCCAATTTTGTACAAACGTGCAGGCAGTGAAAAATTACAGGTGGAAATTTGCTGCTGTAAATGAAATTGAAGTGGTAACATTAAAAATTAAGTCACTGTTTTTAAGCATAACAGGATACCAATGCACTGGAGACTAACTCCAATCTAGGTGCATAGAACCTTTAGACATTTTCAAGCTAATTTATCACTTCCCAAAACCCAACTGCTAACTAAAAACGTTAATGGTGTGTGAAAATGTAATAATGTGACAAATATGTCATGACCAAGGTAGACCTTTGAATACTTTGCAAATTGAAAGCCATGCAGTGTAGTTCACAAGATTCAGCTGTACATTATTGCCCTGTGGGCTGGAAACATAGGGTCAGTGAAGAGTTGTTAACGTTTTCCTGAGAGGTGAGTTCTTGAAGGGTTGAGTGGGCTGCAGTTGGTGGTTGGTTTATACCAGGGGTGGGCAATAATTTTACAAGGGGGGGCCACTTCACAAATCTTTGAAGTAGCCCTGGGTTACCCCAGAAGGGACAGGGCCTTGGGCGGGGCAAGGTCACTTCCCGTACTGCCCCACCCACAGACCCTGATTGGCCTGGGGGTGGGGGAATGCGTGTTCAAAATAGCTGGTGGTTCACTCTAGGTGCTGCATGCCCATTGTGGGGGAGGAGACTTCGCACGTGCCCCTGTCCCCAGGTCTCAATTGGCCTGGGTGCAGGGGAGCAGCAGGGCATCCGTGGGCCGGATCAACCGGCTTCACAGGCTGAATCTGGCCCGCAGAGGCTCTCTTGCCCACCCCTGGTTTATATTGAAGCAAACATCACTAGCTGAATAAAGTCACTGTTCATGGTTTTGTAAAGTGTTGTGCAAATGTAAGGCAATGGAAGTAATAGCAAACTGAAGTGGGAAAGGTTGGGACGGGGGTATTTGCTCAGAAGTAGTTGGAATATGTCTGAGGCACTTGATGGAGTGGCAAGGTGGCTGGTTTCTGCAGAAGCCTTGTGGCACACAGTGCTGCACTGTATCAAATGGCACTACATGTGGTATGCTGTCTCCTTCAATTCTTCTGCTCTGTAGGGTGAACAGATCAAGGCAGATTATTTTCTGTGTGTTGTGCAGAGGAGTTTTTATTTCAGAAATTGTGACGGGTTTTGGCATATTGGGGTATAGAAGTTAGAACAATTAAATTAATTTGCTCTGAGCTGGGATTTCCTAGTATATAAAGAATTGCTGGCAATGAATATTCAGGTGGTTGTGGCCTTAACTGTAACTAACCTTATACCCGTGGTCACCAACCCATCGGCCGCGATCGACTGGTCAATCGGGAGGGCCCGCCCAGTTGATCGCAAGGCGTTTGGGGCCCCCCCATTTCTCCCCACTACCTACCTCCAGCGACAATGGAGGTAATGCCGGCTTCCTGCAGGGTGGATGGAAGTCCGGCAGCTGTGTGCCACTTCCAGGTTTCAGGAAGTGCGCTGGCTGCTCCCCCTCCCCCAAACAGCCAGCGCGGTACCAGACCCAGGTCTGTGGCACGCCGGGGACTTGCTGCACAGACGGGGGAAGCCGGGATGTGCTTCCCCTGCGAGGGTGAATAGGAGTGCCCAGAGGTGGCAAGTGCTGGGGACGCCTTGTCCCCTGTCCCCACCCCAGCACCCACTGGCACCCTTCCCCACTACCATGTCCCCTGCTCCCACCAGCACAGTTGGGGCCACATTAGTGAGGCTTGGGGGGTTTTAGAGGAGGTTTTTTGTGTGTGTGTGGTGGGGTTTTTTTGTGTTTTGGTTTTTTTTTTTTTCAATCTCACTTGTGTGGCCCCAACTGACTTTTCTGTGGGTCAGTGACCCCTCTGCGGGCTTCTGGGGGTGGAAGCTCTCCTGCAGCCCCCCAATTACTCCCTCTCCCCAGATGGCAGCCTGCGGCAAGTGCAGCCGGGCTGATGGCCGAGTGGTGTGATGTGCCCAGTGTGGGCACTCAGGGCACTCCAAGCCAGAACTTCTTTGCAAGCGGGGCACCCCTTAGAACTGTGTGTCCGGGGTGGGGGTCGGGACCCTTTAAGCGCAGCCCTCGGCTAGCCTGAGACAGTATCTCCATGCTCTAAGTCCTCCTTTTATGCCCTGCCGGCACTGCTTCCGGCCATCCTTAAGCCCTGTTCAGAGTCCACTCAATGTGGACTTACTAGTTTGAACTAGCAAAACGCTAGTTCGAACTAGTTTTTAGTTCTAGATGCGTTAGTTCGAACTAGCTTAGTTCGAATTAACTAATTCGAACTAAGTTAGTTCGAACTAGCGCTGTAGTGTAGACGTACCCTCCTTCACCTCCTCCTGCATCCAGACTTCCTCCTGAAGTTTGCACCTCTCATTCCTTCCCACACCCAAATCCCTCATTCCCATCCCAGAGCCTACACATCCTGTCCTCACCCCAGCAAGGGTATGGCTAGACTGCAAGAGTTTTTCAGGATTCTGGAGATATCCCAGAAAAACACTTCTACAAGAGTTTTTTCCACTCTTCTTCCTCTTTTTTTAGCAGAAGAGTAAACATGCTCTTTCAGTAACCCCCTCGTTCCACGAGGAATAAAGGGGCTTCCAAAAGAAGGTTTTTTTTCTGACATTTGGCCCAGTCTAGACAGGCCAATTGTTGGAAAAACCTCTTCCTACAGAAGAATCGGCGGGGGGTGTATAAGGGCTGGGGATAGCAAGTGATGGAGAGGAGGAGAACAGAGAGGGCGGGGCTTCAAGGAAGGGGTGGGGTCTTGGGGGAAGGATGGGTTAGATCTTGGCTTGTTCTGACATTTAAAAAGTGATGTTGGGCGTAAAAAGGTTGGAGATCACTGCCTTATACTATATTCCCCATGGAGCTCCTTTTTTCCACTTAACTGCTCTCTAAATCAAGAAAGATGCAGCAGAGAAAAAAAATGTCCTAATGTTGGCTTTCTTAGCATTGTGAATGCTCAGATTTAGCCAGTAATTATAGTCCTATTTGTACCACATACCAATTGGTTGTTAAATTAGGATATGGGCAGGAACTGGGTTCAGGACCAAGTGATTAGTTTCTTCAGACATTCCATTCCTGGCACTGTGGGCAGCAAAGGTAATCTTCATCTCAGTGCAGTATGGTATTGAACAGAGATGAATGAGAGTATGAATTAGTAATGGCTTTGCAAGCCTCATACACAAGCTGTGGGTAGATGGTGCATGATCTTAAATATTGTGTAAGATCTAAAAGCTACAGGTGTAGAGGAAGCATGTGGTCACTTTTTAGAGACTTACTTCATTTAAATTAATTGTTTAGTGTTCGAGTGAAAACATTTTTGAAGCAATTTAGCGTAACCTACTATTAAATTACTGTTCCTGTCACAAAAGAGAGTGAGAGAACTCTGCATGGCTCAATTTATAGCCAAACATGATAGGATTGACCAAGGAGGGACTTCTTGTTAAACTTCAATTTGCTGCTGAAGGATTTCCCTAAGCCTATGTTGTTTCAGTTAATGAATGCTGTTTGACTTGTGTATTGATTTTTTTCTGTGGAATTTGGCATCCATGATTTCCAGAAATGATGGGCCCCATAGCAACATCAAGAAGCCAGTGGGAATGGTGGTAATACAGGAAGGTGTCTTGAATTGGACTCTATATGTAAGGCACCAACTTCAGCTAAAACTCGTTGACTTTGAGAGCACCAGTTTCCCAGCTCTTACGTGTATGATGTGTTTGTGTAGCTTATCTGCAAGCACACAGTGTATACGTGCGCTGACTGTACTGTGAACAAACTCCAGAAGAGTAGCATGGTGAGGTTAGCCAGGTAGAAGCCAAAGACTTTGTGGATGGTGGAAATAGAATAAATATTCATGTTTGTGAATTATTTAACTCTGTACAATACAGTTTACTTTTTCCAGAACAATACAATTTAAGAAACTGATTACAGATTGCTTTTAGTCTGTTTGACAAAAATTGCAGATTAAATACTGCTCCTGTTTTTGATATAGACAATGTCTTTCATTAAATCAAGCTAAGAAAGCTGAAATTTTTTATGATTATTTGTTGACTTTCCTGTAAAACCATGTAAAGCAAATATTGATTTTTCAATCCAAGGTAAGATGTGCAGGTATCTACAAAATAAACTTTGTTGGGGTGGGGAACCAATTTACAGTGTTGTTGTGCTGTAAAATCATAGCATGCAATGTGAATTTGATTAGATGTATATTCTGTGTCACTTGTCAATTTCCTCCTTTTCCTTCTAGTTTCTACTGGCTCTCTTGCTCAACAATATGGCCACCCGAATGCTACCCTCCATTCACAGCCTTCTGCCACACCAACAGGACAGCAGCAAAGTCAACATTCTGGAAGCCACCCTGCTCCCAGTCCAGTGCAGGTAACAGCAAAACTCTAGAGAGTAAACACTTTGAAATACGTCTTGCACCCCATCATATATATAGTAGCCCATTGTCTGTGACTCTGTAACGCTGAAACGCTGGCTGTTCCCTCTGGGCAGTGCTGTTGCCTCCCGCCATGGCACTGTGCTGATTTCTGCGCCGCCGCGCGGGAGTGAGCAGCTGTTTGGGGTCCACGCTCCCCATGCAGCACAGGGCCCAAATGGCCGCTTGCGCTGCTTGCTCCCACACGGCGGCCCGGCTGAGCAGCACAGAAGTCAGCACAGAGCCATGGAGGGAGGCAACAGCACCGCCCAAAGGGAACAGCCAGGGGACGAGGCCTGGACAAGCACGTGTCTCTGACGTCAGGAAAGGGCACTGGATTCAAAAGGAGGAAAGTGGAGCAGACACAGAGGATGCGGAGGAGACAGAGAGGAGAACAGAGGAGGTGGAGGAGAAGAGAAACACAGAGTGAGAGGCGGGAGGGAGAGACAGAGAGGCAGAAGGCGGAGGAGAGCTGAGAGAGAGAGGGTGAGGCAGTAGGAGGAGGAGAAGAGAGAGGGAGGCCGTTTGCACTGCTTGCTCCCGCACGGCGGCCCGGCTGAGTGGTGCAGAAGTCAGCCGAGCACCACGGCGGGAGGTGAAGGGGGGCGGGGCGGTGACGTGCGGTGTGACAGTGGCTCTAGGCCCCGCCCCCTGGCCATGAATGTCACCGGCCCGCGCTCCCTCACCTCCCCCCCATCCGCTCTGCTGACTTCTGCGCTGCTCAGCCGGGCTGCTGTGCTGGAGCAAGTGGCACAAGCGACCGTTTGGGCTCCGCGGTCTCCTGAGTGAGAGGCAGGAGGGGGAGGAGAGCTGAGAGAGAGAGAGAGGGGAGGCAGTAAGAGGAGAGAGAGAGAGAGACGGAGCAAGAGACTGGAGGCTCAGGAGAGAAGACTGACATGGAGGAGAGACCTGAAAATCCCATCTTATGATGGGCTAATTGGCTAGTTATGTTAGAAAACACTGCACCAGTCTGTTACTTCAGCATCTGTTTGTTCTTTGTATAGCTCCAAACACGTTCTTCTTGACAAATAAGCTTTGGTAGCAGCTATGTTTATACTCCCTCGTTCCAGAAATAATGTGGCTTGTAAATATTATTTCCTTACAATTTGTATGTGAATCCAAAGTGAAGTGCAGTCAGTCTGCCTTTAAATCAATGTGTGATAAGAATAAGGGTAAAGGGTTGTGAATCATGATTTAAAATACTTCGTATAAACAGCAGGGAGGGGCTCTTCCCTCACCTCGTGAACGCACACAGAGTCCAATGTTTGGAAATTACTCATTTGACCCTTTCTGATAAGGAATGGGGAGGGCAGGTGGCTCAGCAGTGCTGTTGTGATTAATTAAAGGAACATCACTCCCCTGGTGCAGTCTGGCTCTAGTTTGGTATGTGTGAATTTATGGCATGAAAGTTAGTCACAGACAGAAGTGCTGAAAGATGGGTTTTGTTTTTTATGATAGCCTAGGATTCTGGAGAATACATCAACTCTGCAGATTCCAGTGATTTTCCCCCCCTGTGCTACAGATTTGGATAAGACGACCTACCAGATCAGAATGTAGCATTTTATTTTGTTATTAGTGTAGTGTGTATAGGAGCATATTTGTTAAGTAAAATTTTAACAATTCCTTTTTATTTCTGTGGAATAAATGTTTATTGTTTATCGCTTAGAATCAAAACCTGAATCTCTGGGTACGGCTAGACTGCAAGGATCTATTGGGGAAAAAACCCTCTTTTGAAAGCCCCCTTCTTCCTCGTGGAATGAGGAATACAGAGGATTCTGAAAGAGTGCATTTGCTCTTCCACAAAAAAAAAGCAGAAGAGCACAAACGCGTTCCCTGGACGCGGCGGAGTTTTCCAGTATCCTGAAAACCCCCCGCAGTCTAGCCGTACCCTCTGACTAGCTTTGCAGCATCACCAGCACCAAGCTGCTCAGGCACTCCACCTGGCAAACCCACAGCAGCACTCAGCAATGTACCATGCTGGTCTTGCTCCAACCCCACCTTCCGTGACACCAGGCTCCAATACGCAGTCTCCACAAAATGGTTTTCCAACAGCACAACAAACAGTCTTCACTATTCATCCTTCCCATGTTCAGTCTGCATATACCAATCTGCCACACATGGCCCATGTACCCCAGGTAAACAAACTTTAACAACCTTTCAAAGACTTACATGTCCTATTGCCTCAAAGATGATGTAGTGTCCTCCTTGTACATCCTTATTCTGGTTTGCTTAGGGTTCTGTTTGCACAGTGCTGTAAATACATTTGAAAGCAAAGCCAAATCTTTACATGTCTACTCAATGAGAGATTCTCACGGCTACTCGGAAACTCCTGAGAGGATTATGAAGAACTCCAGAAGAGGTTAAAGTGAGGTGCCTGGGCAGTGTGGGGTGGAAGAAGTTCAGATTAGACAAGTGGAAAGTATAATGCACACTAGGAGGAAAGATAGTAACAGTACATTGATGGGTTGTAAATTAAATTACCATTGGGGATACAGGGGATAGCTCAATGGGCTGCAGTAGTCAGCAATCTGATTTGGAATGCTCTTTTCAGTTTTGGTCACTTCACGTCAAACACTATATGGCAAAAATAGACAAAGGTTCAGAGAATGGCAGTGACTGTGATTAAAAGTGTGGAGAGTCTACTCTACAAAGATTAGCACTATAATACAATCTGAGGGATAGTCATGTTAGTCTGTATCTGCAAAAACAATGAGGTGTCCTGTGGCACCTTAAAGACTAACAGATGTATTTGGACATAAGCTTTTGTGGGTAAAGACCCACTTCGTCAGATGCATAATGACGAAGTGGATCTTTTGCCCACAAAAGCTTATGTCCAAATACATCTGTTAGGGTATGTCTATACTACCCCGCTAATTCGAACTAGGAGGGTAATGTAGTCATCCGCAGTTGCAAATGAAGCCCGGGATTTGAATTTCCCGGGCTTCATTTGCATGAAGCCGGCCGGCGCCATTTTTAAATGCCGGCAGTTCGAGCCCCGTGCCGCGCGGCTACACGCAGCACGGAGTAGCTAGTTCGGATTAGGCTTCTAATTAGGAAGCCTAATCCGAACTAGCTACTCCGTGCCGCGTGTAGCCGCGCGGCACGGGGTTCGAACTAGCCGGCATTTAAAAATGGCGCCAGCTGGCTTCATGCAAATGAAGCCCGGGAAATTCAAATCCCGGGCTTCATTAGCAAGTGCGGATGACTACATTACCCTCCTAGTTCGAACTAGTGGGGTAGTATAGACATACCCTTAGTTTTTAAGGTGCCCCAGGACTCCTGGTTGTTTGTCATTTGGAGAACACAGATAAATGGAAACACAAAGGTACATCAAAGAATGAACACTTAAGTAGGATCATTACTGCTGAGGATACTTCTTTCTAACCCCAGGCAGTTAGGTGTTGGCTTATGCCTTAAATCAGAAGGGTTAATACTCCTTATGCATGTTACCCTAGCTCAGTGGTCTCCAACCTTTTTACACCCAAGATTGCTTTTTAAATGTCAGGGCAAGCCAGGACCAACCCCACCCCTTCCTTGAGGCCCCACCCTCTCCATCATTTGCTGTCCCCAGCCCTTACTCATTCTCACTGGGTTGAGACAGGAGGTACGGGCTGTAGGGTGCGAATGAGGGATTTGGGTGTGGGAAGGGGTGAGAAGTACAAGCTCTGGGAGGGAATTTGGATGCAGGAGAAGAGGATGCTGGCTCGGGGAGGGGGCGCCAGGCCGGGCAGTGTTGGGGTCAGGTGGAGGGTTGGGGTGCTGAGCCACAGGAAAATCATTTTAGGGCCGCACACAAGTGAGATGCAAAACATAAAACAAAAAACCCAACCCTCAGGGTATGTCTAGACTGCATCCCTCTGTTGGCAGAGGGATGCAGATTAGGCAGGTCGACATTGCAAATGAAGCAGGGATTTAAATATCCCACGCTTAATTTGCATAAAATGGCCGCCCTTTTTTTCTGACAGCACTTTGTTGGCAAAAAGCAGCAGTCTAGAGGGGGATCTGTCGAGAAAGAAAGCCTTTTCAACGGATCCTGTAAACCTCTTTGCGGGAGGCATAAGGGATCTGTCGAAAAAGGCTTTCTTTCTTGACAGATTCCCCTCTAGACTGCCTCTGAGCCTCAGGGGCCCGATCCAGGCAAGCTGGGAGCTGCATGTGGTCCTCAGGCCAGAGGTTTCCCATCCCTGCTCTAGTGCATGACCCAAAAGCCAGATTGCCATTAGCAATAACCGTACAGCAGAGTCATTCTCTCTGTAAGTGATCTTATGGCCACTGGATGAGAGACGTCACCACACCCAGAAAGTGTGTGGGTTCCCTCCCCCTTTGGAGGGATCAAGGACAGTTCACTACAAACATTTATCCCTAGATATTCAGACTCAACTTGGTCATTAGTCAGATGGTATCATTTTTATTACCTCGTCGAATAAGCAAAACTCTTATTTGCATGTTGCAAATACAGTGGGCCAGCTTGTTGTTGGCTCATTTAATTGCCTTTGTTTCCTGGCTCCATTAAGGGGCTTCCGAGCTGCCTGCATCAATCAGCATCCCGTCTTACTTAGAAATGTGCCACTTGTGGTGTGAGTGCTCAAGTGTGTCGCTTGGAATTCATGGTAGGCCAGCTTTTCTGAGACGAAAACACTGATCGCTTATGGAAAGCAAACACAAAAGGGCAAATGTGAATTCAGAAGCAAATTTGTTTTACATGTGAGCAAATATAGAGGGATTTCCCACCCTCAGCAGCCGTCATCCAGCCTTAGTATTTGTGTTTTACATCAATATACATGGGGCGGGAAGGGGGGAATTACTGTTACCAAATTTCCTTTTATGCATTCTACATTTATAGCTTTTTAATTTCAGTGTCCCATTGCCTTGCTCTTGTGGTGTGAAGGAGCCCCTAACTGCCTTTGTTTAGGTAACTTGTTATAGAGCCTTTTCTTCCTCTAAAGCATCTGGCTGTTGCCTGAAACGGTATATTGGCATAGGTGGGATATTGATCAATCTTAGCTTGGTAGTTCTGTGTCTGACTTGATTTTTGTAGTTTCTTTTGGGGTCCCTGTAAAGTCCTACGTTTGGACCCTCAGGTGTGCCTAATTGCAAATGACTGCTATACAGGCACCTAGAACACCAAACCTTGAGAGCCGAGGTTAATCATTTCATTTCCAAGATGTAAAGAACTAGGTGAACTGTACTGAAGTGTAACTGATGATAGCATACCTGTGGGCAGCCTGCTTTCTTTAAATGGAAGTAAATAGTCTAATCTTGCTGGCTCCTTTTTTGCTTTGTGGGATTCACAAAAACTACTAAAAGAAATAAGATGCTTCTTATAGTGCAAACTAACTAAATGACTCTGATGAAGTCTCTGATATTTTTAAGGAGCATAGTCAGACTTCTGTATCTTTGATCTTGACTTGTGGAATTCAGTGTTGTTGGTTTCACAGACATAAAAACAATAGGCATGGACATATCAAAAGATGTATAAAGTTTCAGATGGCTTTTCAGGATGGTGTAGAGCCCCATAAGCCTTTAGTGAAGGACTAACTTCATCTATCTAAAAAATCTCTAATGAAGTGACTACCTCAACTGCTTAGAGGAAAAACAAATAATCCTGAAGTGCCACAGATAAGCATTTCATAATGCTAAGTACGATCATAAAATTCATTAAATTAAATTGATTACATTAATCAATCAGTAACTCAATACTAATTGAATCCCTGGCTCACAAAACTCTGAACATGTTACAAAAATCAGCACCTAAGCATGAAGTTGAGCAAAGCATCATTACCATGGCAGACAGATCTTATGTTATGCATGTCTGTTCTGAGCACAGCTGCTTACAAATGGCTGTCATGGCTTTAATAGTACTGTTTGGTCAAAACAAAAATGCTGGTTATCATGGAGGCTTAGAAGCCATGCCCGTGAAGCTCAAACAGTGTTCTTAGTATGCTTCAGGAGTTAGTTCTCATCCTTTCAGGGACTACATGGAAGCTGTATTACAACTTGAGGAGTCCTGTTAATCAAATGCCGTCTGATTAAGGGTGACAGTAATACAATGAAAGTAGTGCTTGTGGGAAAAGTTCCAGGGTTTAGCCACATGGGAATTCTGCCTTTTCGGCACATCTAACTTGAATGAGTCGGAAGTCCTAGCCACTGTCCCATATCTACTGGAGTGGAACTTGGGATCTGAGTATTTTCTACCAGCTTTACTTAAAACACACCTACAACTAAAGACAAAAGAAGGGTTGTGGGCTTATTTTGTTTTGAAAACTTGTTTGCATCTAAACATGGGCATAGTTAAATGCTGCCTGGTTTGTTGTCTTGTAAATGACAAACTGATTAGTAGCTCATCAAGATTGATAGGGCTTGCACCTCGAAAATAGAGGTAGTCCCTCTGCCTCCTGTCAGGAGCTGTTACTAATGAGTAGAGCCCTGCAAATCCATAGATATGCATCCACTTCATAGGCGCATCCCCAGATGTGGATATCCACCATTAATTTTTACAGAGGAGTGCCTGGTGGAGCAGAGTGGGACAAGCATCCATAGGTCATACCCATACAGATGCTCCTCCTGAGTGAGGCACTTGCTGCTGCCCAGGGGTGGATGTGCATCACGTAAAAGGTGGGGAGCAGATTGGATGCATGTTGTTTCCTGTGGATGTGGATCCACATTTTTATATCTGCACAGGGCTCTACTAATGAGTGAAAGGATTTTTCTACAAACTGAGGAGATGTATTACGTGCTTATTTGTCACAAGGTAATAAGCAGTGAAACAGACATGTTTCAGTTTCTTTTTTGGGGGATTAATTACGAACACTTTCAGTACACAAGAACTGATATAGTGAGCTTAACTGAAAATAGAACAGAACTGTGCTAGCTGCATGACACAGTGGGGAAAAAGGAGGAAATAATTTCCAACTGTTTTTATGTGGGATCCAATATAGCTATATAAAGAGATCGAACATTGGAGAGACAATGGGCATCTAGCACAGGAGAATGTGATGAAAGTGGGAATTGTAGAACAAATGAAAAACCAAGTTAATTTCATTGAGGCATGAAGTCTTTGTTGGAGAACTTGCTGGGTAAATATCATTGCTTTTGCTTCATGCTTTTCCTTCCTCCTCCCAAATGTATTCATATGAAGCACTGAGAAAGAGATGACAGTTCTTCCCGTGTGTGTAAAGGCCTATACAGTGCCTGTTATTTCTGCATAGTGTCCAAGTCCTTCTCTGCATAGGAAATGCCTTTCAGTTATTAACACAATGTCTAAAGATTTTTTTTTAAAATAACTATTCCAAAAGTATCCACTAGTAGCACTCCTAGCAAGGAGCTCCTACCCAAACAGATGAGATGTCAGCAAAGCCAAGAATAAGGATTTGACACCTTGTGTTTTAAAATCTCAAACTTACTCCCTACATGCACATTCTAGCCAATTGACTTATAATGGAGTAAATCTCATCATTTACTGTTTCAGTTGGAGGAATCTTTGCTAGTCATGTGGCCAGGAGTGTTGCCTCCTTGTGACCATTATACTAAAGAGCTCTTTGTTTCAGGCTCATGTACAGTCAGGAATGGTTCCTTCTCACCCAACTGCCCATGCTCCAATGATGCTAATGACGACACAGCCACCTGGTGGTCCCCAAGCCGCCATCGCTCAAAGTGCACTACAGCCCATTCCAGTCTCGACAACAACACATTTCCCCTATATGACGCACCCTTCAGGTGAGGAGTGTGTGCGTGGGAGACCTGCACCTTAACGGAGCCAGGTCAAATTAGTGAATAAAACTGTTATGAGCCAGGTTTGGGTTAGAAACAAAAAACAAAAAAAAGTCCTTTTGCAGAGGCAAACTGCTGAAGGCTGCAGACAGTATTTCTGCAGTTAGTATTTATATTTTGCTGCTCCAAATGTAAACTTAGTATGCATACAAAATGGACTAAGTTAGGAAAGACTTTATTTCTCTATGGCTGAAACCTACTATGCAGACTTCAGTGTGTGCAGGACAATGTTCTTGGGGATAGACTGACTAGGTGGCTAAGAGTGTAACAGTCCAAGTTTTGTACATGTAAATTATAGAAAGTGGCTTGAGGATAGTTGTAAAATTACTGCTCCATGGATAAAAGTATTGCTGACACCTGAAGGCAGGTGGCATTTTGAAGTTGACTTTTTATCCCAAGAGCGACATTTTGCAGTCCTGTTGCTTGGGGAAAGCAGGCCCTACTTGTTTTGTTACTCTTTAAATGTAACTCTTACCTAGGTGTCTGGAGTATTGTTTTTTTCCAAAGCAGGGTATGAACTTGTACAATGAACTAATACCTGATTTTGTGGGGTGGGAAAATACATCTTTGCTTTCTTAGGGGTTAGATAGAAAAACAGCCAAAGGATATCTTAATGCAGGCATTTTTACAGACTTGAGCTAAATAATTATCCTGTGATTTAACTGGCAAATTGTTACATGGCTTACCAATTTGCTATTTACACATGCACTCTTTTTCTGCAGTACAAGCCCACCACCAACAGCAGTTGTAAGGCTGATCGGGAGTAACAAAGGCTGGATACCTTTTGTAGGCCAAATACCTTCCTTCCACTGCTCTGCCAACTGGAAGCACAGACAACTAGAATTTCATTTATTTTGTTCAAAAAAATGATTTCTTGTAACATCCAATAGGAATGCTAACAGTTCATCTGGTAGTGGGAGAGATTCAGATTGAAGAGGCACATGGGAACTTGTGTGTTACTCCATGCACTGTATCAGAATCCTGCAGGTGCCCAAACTCTGCTTGC